AGCACATGTGCTTAGCTTTCCTTTCCCATGTGGCAGTCTTCTCACCTCTCTCCTCTTCCTGTTCTCTCAACAGCTTCCTCCTGTATGCGAAAACATGCACAGAAAATCAGTGGACAGATACCATGAAGTAGGGGGCAGTGCTTAAACCGTATGTGCGTTGTCAGGGTAGAGGGTCTCTTTCATGCTTGTCAAGGGACTGCTCATGTTATCTCCTTTTCTACAACACTAACCTTGAAATTTCTTTTTTTTTTCTTCTTTCAAAATTTTATTGATAAACAGATAGCAATGAGGCAGTTTCACATCAAATCGGAAGTATAGTTTCAACAAATAATACACTGCATATATTCTTCTTAGTGGTTAATTGCTTTGAAATTTCTATGTAGTGCCTAGGCTGTCTGTAAACCTGTGCTCTCCCTGTCTCAGCCTCCCTTTTGCTGCAATTGGCAATGTGTACTGTGACACTGGCTTTATTTTATTTTACTTTACTTTGTTTTATGTATTTGTACGCAATCTCCCTCCGACTTATAGTGAACTTCCTGTTTAGAGTCTCTCAGGGCTTGCATTGCAGGCATTCGCCACCGTGCCTGGACTCGATGGCTGCCTCAGAATGCCCAATGACTGGGCCATCGCAGTGTATGTTCCTGTGGAGCAGATGCTGTTCACTGTGATTTCTTAAGCAGGCCCTTAGTCCACTGAGCTATCTCAGCGACCCCCACACCTGTTTAAAACACATATCTCTGAAGAAGAAAGTGAGACCTATGACCAAAAAGTAAATGTAAAGTTAGTGAACAAGAAACTCATTTGTTAGTGAAAAATCTTTTTTTTCTAAGAGTAAGAAAATTATTTGAGAGGAACCAAGCTTCTGTCTGAGAAGGACAGAACAGGTCCCAGAAAGCGTATCACCCAATAATTGTGCTTCTCAGGGTTGTTTGTTTGAGCGGAGGCATGAGGGGAGATGGGCTTAAGGAGGGACAAAAAGACGGCAAATCCATAAGAATAAAAGTAAAGTTGCGTAGGTAAAAATGTTTCAATGGCAAGTCACAGGATGGGTGTGAGGAGACACAAAACCATGGTGACCCAGCAAGCACACAAGTGCACTCACTGGGTAGTAGTGATCAAATGGGGATCAAATGGGTAAGCCCAGCGTGTAGCCAGCACAATTGGACAGACATGGACATTCCTGGAAGGGGCAGGGAGAGGAGGTTTGGTCCTCTGTCCAAGGTCACTGATGCCTATTTAGAAAATCAATCACACACACACACACAAAAGAGAACATCATTCACTGCTGTTCATCCCTAGGGAGGTATATAGATAAACAGTACTTTTTCTTACAGCCTGGCCTTTAGTGACTACGCCTCCAATCACCGTTGTCTTCTGCTTGATCTTCAAGAGTCCCGGCCCTCAGTGACTGTCTACAATACTGCTAAATAACTTAGCTCTGTATACTACTCCCCCTCTGAAGAAGGACCCCTAACTGCACCTTTGCCTTCTGCTGGCTTCTTCAAGTGCATTTTAGAGGGTAACTGGCATTTTCAACCCGGACCATGCAACCTGAAAAACAAGCAATGTGTAAGATGTTTGATATTTAGACAGAGTGAGGTTAAGCTTAACAGCCTATGTTGTATGGTAATAACAATAAGCTTGTCTTCTGGATAGTTAACAACCTAAGTTTGCAGACCAAAATTAGAGAAAAAGGAGGGCTGCAAGGAAAGCCAACATTTTGGCCCTAGCCTTCCAAGGTCAATTAAGACT